GTGGGCTTTCAACACACAGCACACTGCTCCTCAGAGCAAGCCTTTTCCAGGCCAGATACTGGCTTCTGCCCCCGCACCGACAAGAGGCTCTCTCTGGCTGCTGCTTTACACACCGGGCACCATAGCAATCCCTTCCACTCCGCCGCCTCCCAATCACCACCCCTTCCAGAGAGCGACAGCGTGAGCGGTGTTGGTGCGCGCCAGCCAGCCTGGGAGGGAGCACCGGGGACCCAGGAGGTCAGAACAGCGTGACCCCTCCGAAGGGCATCCCTCAACCCCAGCCACCTGCAGCCAGGTGCCCGGGACCATGGTTGTGTTTTCTGATTTTTACAAAGAGAAGTCCAAAGTACAGATCTGACTTCTAAAATGTCTCCTATACAGGAGTTGGATATGAATTAAAAAACAAACATTTAAAGCCCTGTGGGAGGCCGTTTCTGCAAATTTCCTGAGCTGGGATATTTGGCTAAAAACAGTTTAGAAAGCTCATTAAACTATAGAAACCCCTGACCAGACCCACCTAATGCTACAAACAAAACACATTTGTGGGATGGCCAGCCATGGCCAGTGTGGGGTTGGGATCCATGGGGATCACCTGGAGGTCCCCGCTAAAAGTACGGGTTCCCGGACCTTGTCCACGGAGATCTGGATTCAGTAGGTCCGTCCTGGACTGGAGCGTGAGAACTTTGACCCTCAACCGTCTCTGCAAGTGACCCTGCTGCTTGTGGCCTCTAAATGATACCCTGGACTCACTGCCCCGAGCCAGCGTGCTGCTCTGGCAGGTCTCACACACCTCTGTGCCTCAGTTTCCCCACTGCAACGTGAGCATACAGGTGAGTACTCCCCAGAGGACCATCCACCCCACAGGCTCCGACGTCCCCGTAACCCCAGACCGTCGCAGGAAGACGCTGACTGGATCCACGCCCGGCCTGCATCCACAAGACCCCTCTGGAAATTTCTTTCCTGAAACTCCATCCTGTACAGAGCTCAGCATTTTGCTGGCAGCCTCCAGGGTTCAGTAACCTCGCGCAAAGGGGGAGAAGTCACCTCAAGCCTGGGAAGGAAACGCTGCTGCCGCCACAGGGTTTCAGCGGCCGTCCCGGTGCTTACAGGCAAAAGAAGTTCTGGGCACGAGCAGAAAACGCGGGGGCCCACGGACAGGGGAGCGAAGGGAAGCAGATGGTACAACAGCAAGACCGTCTTTCCTGCCAGCAGCCACCGTGATTCAGAGTTGAAATGGCGTCAGATGTAATGGGCAGAAGGCACCCAGGAGCACTGGGCCCAAGCTCAGAGACAACTGCTAAAGGTCAGAGGAGAACAAGGACGGAAGGGGCTCCTTTCCGAGCAGCGAGCAGACGGACAGACGCGACGGAGAAGCGTCGGAAGGCAAGGAAGCATCAAAGACTGACTAGACTCTTGGGCTCAGTGACACGTAGGAAGCATCTGTGATGCTGGTTTTCATCCCCAAAAATACAGCAGTGACCACGACAGACAGTCCCTGGCCTCACAGAGCTGCCCCCGCATAGGGAAGAAGGATGGTGAACCGGCCATTGCCCGCCGTGCCTGAGCTGGAGAGGAGCAGGCAGTGAGCCCCGGGAGCACAGGCAGACGGACTCACCTGTCTGGAGGGAACACCTGAGCTGAGCCCCCAAGGTCTACAGGTGGGGAAACCAGGTGCCAGAACCTTCCAGGAAGAGTCCGTCCCCGAGCTGAGCTTCCCCACGTGTGCACTCGCCGCTTGTGGGGAACGAAGGGCAGACACCTGGGCCTACAGGAACACAGACTGTGTTTCCTTAAGTTCGTGTTCAGGAGTGGCTGGGCGTCCGAATGCCTTCTTCCCTCCCAAGACCCTCAAAACTTCTCCAGTCTGCACCCAGCGCCCATGAGACGCTTCCCCATGAGGCCCCACGTGCAAGAGGGAAGCCCCACTTGAGCTGGCAGAAACGCAGAAGGCAGAAGCAGACGGAGCCTGGGCCCAGCGGGAGCAGGCGTGGGTGCAGGAAGGGGAGGTGGGCAGGCTGGTGGGGGGCGCTCACAGGCTGCGGGGCATAGCTTCCCGGCCCTTTATGCCGTTTTGAAAAGCTCAGACTTCCACTCTGCTCCTAAGAACATCCTCCTCCACCCACCCTGAAATAAAATCAGCCCAAGTCATGGATTGAGACCACAAGAGAGTTTAGAAAAAAGGACTATAAAAATAGTTGACCGGGAGGACAGGGAGCGGGGGATGTCTGTTCATTCTGATGTTAGTTTTTCTCATACAAGTAATAGGCTATACACCTGAGCCCACTATCGCCACCAAAAAATCCCAGAGAAACAGAGACAAACGTGGAGGAGGATGGGATAGGTGGATCAGGAAAGACCCCACATCGGGTCCCCGCGCCTTTCACATCTGACCACCCCATCCTCACCATTCCCGACGTCGTTCTTGAAGTCTGCCTGCCTTTTTCTTTTTCTTAGTTCACCTGCTTTTAAGGCTTGTGACTTACTGATGTCTCCTCCTAAACCATGGCTAGGGAATCACATTTCTGTTTGTTCAGATAAACACATAGTCCTTACTGTCCTTCACTGCCCGGCGTCCCCCAAATTCCTTCCACACCCTCGGTGCCCTGCAGGGACGTTAATCTGGAAAGCGGTGGGCAGACCTTCCCTGTGCTCATCTTGCTGATCTGGACCCCAGAAATGCACGCTCACACGGGCTGCAGGCCACCTGTCTGAGCGCAGGGTGCACGCGGGGTCACGCACACCATGGTCCTCAGATGTCATGCGTGCTCGACTCCCCATTCCCGGGAAGAGGGATACAGACCGGGAAATGGCCGACCTCCGTCCAAATCTGCAGGAAGCCTCACAACAGCCCCGTCTCCGGGAGCCAAGGGTGACGTGAGGTTTCCTGGGTCCAATGTCTGGCCCTACTGGAAAGACATTCACATGGTTTGAACATCTCCGGCTAACCCCGGCACACAAGAGGCCGCTGTCACAGGGGACACAAAGCCAGCCTTCCCAGCTCTGCTGCCACCCCACACTCATTTGTCCCAGTCTTTTTGCAGATGAAAGGAGCTAATATGAGTAATGACCTTGGTCCGGTGATCATCACATAGTCAGCGATCAATACCATTGGGTCCTTATGGTCGGTTAGCCCCCTTACAGGTGGGGGTATCGCCCTCCAAGCAGGCAAGCTGGGGTTCTCGTTAGGACAGGTGCTCAGGTCTGCAAATATTCCCATGGGGCCATAGCCAAGGAACCTCTCATGGCCACGGGCTGCACCTGCCAGGACCCCAGTGGCCCCTTCCGGCCTCATGGCAGCCTTGAGAGGAAAGACTATCCCTGACCCGTTTGACAGACACAGACTCAGGTGATGCAGTTGCCTGAGGTCTCGGCAGTTGGGACGAGGACAGGGACTGGAGCCCACGCTCTCACTGTGCTGTGTCACACCATCACCATGGTGGCGAGGGCTGGGGAGGCAGTGACGACCAAGGGGACAGTGTCCATGACACTGGGGGATTGCTAGGCCATTGCCCAACCAGAGTCATTGGGCGGGGGGAGGGCTCCTTTCTCAAGAGAAACTGGAAATCCATATATTTAAATGAAAGTTTTTTCTTTTTCCACGTTGGCAGCTAGTTCAAAACTGTTGAACTCCACGCCTGCCAAGCCAAATACGGCCACAGGCTGGAGCCAGCCCAGAGCCCTGGAGCTGTGGTCTCGGAGTTCAGGTGAAACTTCCCAGGGCTCTGACTCCCCCGCAGTCCCCTCACAGGGACCCCTGTGAGAGCTGGTGTCCCTGACATCCCCTCCCCATCATCACAATTCCGGGACCCACACAGCCTAGCTCTCGAAAGACCTAAGACCAACCCCCCAACAGAGCCAAAGCAGTGGAGGACCTGTCCCCCAAGAGAAGACGCTCCCCTGGGCCTGGCCCCCCACCCCCAGCCCTCCTGCCCCGTGGGCTCTCCCAGTGGCCACAGCTGAGCCTGGGCTGTTTTTCATTTAGAGAAACAAACAAGCCTGATGTGTTTATAGTGCTGTCTGAACTCCGGGATGGCCCGAACACCGGGTTTGTAAACCTGGCCGTGGTTTTGGACCTCAAAACCATTTCTCGAAATCCTGGGTTCTGCAAACTCCAAAACATATCCCTCCCCCACAACCACCACCACCACCATGTGTTTTGCCCTGTTAAACTTGTTTGTTTTTCTTGGAATGAAGTCCTATGTCCCCAAAATTGTGCATGACAAGTTCATCACAACATTGTTTTGAGGCCGTTGGATGTCTGAAAGGCCTTGGCTTTCAGAAAGGCAGGTGTTACACTGTTTCTTTCTTCCCCCCAAAAAGAACATTCTCATCCTGCGAGGGGTAGCAGAACTTGAAGGCCTGAGGCTGATTCAGATGTCAGACAACGTTTCAGAGAGGTCTGAAGTGTGGCCCAGATAGCCATGGTCGGGACCTCTGATGCTGGAAAGCAGGTCACTTTCCACGGGAGAACAGGGAAAAGGACACATCCGGCCCCTCCACTGCCTACACCCGCTTTGTCCAGGACACTCTTCCTGCCATGGGCCCGCAGCCCCTGCTGTGGCCCACCCCCGCCACCACTCCCCAGGCTCAGGGATGAAAGAAACCTGCCCAGGGCAGGAGTGTCACAGGCCGGCCCCGCCCAGGGCCACCGTCAACATCCCAGAGTCAGAAATAACGTGGTGGGAGACACACCACCAATTTACTTCCCACAAAGGCCACGGCCCCAGCCAAGTCCCATGTGACATCACCGCGTCTATTTCTGTAGTGGGTTTTTTTTTCTTTCTTTCTTTACAAGATTAAATAGTTTGCTCTCACGTCTCCGCAAGACGGTACTTCCGTCTTTTTCAGTGTCCAGGACATATCTCAGGTTAGAATCCTGGGCCCCTGCACCACCACCCCTGCGTCCCCTCCCACCCACCACCCCGTGTCTGCAAAGACTCTGCAGCCACAAGCTGGTGTCCCCACCCACCGGCGCCCAGAGGAGGCGGCGTGTCACTCACCGTCCGGGTCACACTGCGCCGGGCTGCTGATGCAAGAAGCTCTGTACCTCCCGTAGTAGAGAAGGGTTACTCCTTTCTCCTCCTTGAGGTAAATGCCCTTGTTGACCTTCCCCTCCATGATGTCTACATTAGAAGAGCGACAACATCGGGCGTCAGCAAGTGTCAGACTTACACACAACCTACACTCTACTGTTCATGTCCATAATATTGTGTGCCCTCTACATTAACATTAATGCTTCCTATTTAATATTAAACTAGTCCTAGTGAAGTTAGAATCCTGTAACAAGAAAATGTGACTACTTCACAATAAATTGATCATAGTAATATTTTGTCATCAATGACTACTATATTAGCACGTACTGTGCGCTCTACAGTAACGACACTCTAATCCGTTGGCTGGGGATTGGGTTCCCAGGAGCGATGCGGTGACAGCCTCCTCCTGTCCCGAATTTCAGCTCCGTCCACAGGCTTCCAGAACCCCTCTCGCCCATCTTGTAAATGAAAGGCTTAGGTACATGTTTGAACCTAAGCACCACCTGTGAGCTCTCCTTGGAAGTCCCTAATCCTAGACTGGGAGCCTACAATTCTGCAAGAATCCATGTCTGGACTCTGGGAGGGAATCCTGGTGGGGCCTGCCAGGTCCAGGCGCAGTGGCCATGAGCCCCCGTTGGCCCTCACCGCTCCATCCACCCCTCTGTCTGGCCCCATTCCCACGGCAAACGTCCCTGATGGTGTGAGTGTGGGGTAAATGGTTTACAGGACCGATAAGTGAAGACTATAAAAACCAAGTGTGATTAGGCATTTATTGTTCATTGGGGTCAAAGTCGCCCAGATACCTCCTCTGTCGAAAGGACACTTACCCACTGCCCTTGAGCTGTCACACAGCCCGGGATACGTAGACGCTTGGCTGAGCTCTTGGGGCCTGATGGCTGCCCCAGTGCAACTTTTCCAACAGCCACTGTCAAGGGGGAGAGCCCCTCAAAGGGCCTCTGTGCGCTTCCTCACTGTTCTAAACTCATTATTTTTTTGCGTATCTCATTTATTGCTGGGGAGCCTACATACCACAAAACTAAACATATCGTAAAAGTAAGTTAGCAGTTACATGCTTGAGCTGGGCCGTATGAACCCCTCAATAAGATGTCGGACTGCAAAGATTAATTTTGGAAGGCAGACCCCTCACAGCTGAAAACAGCGATCAGATTAGGTGTCGCCCCAAACGCAGAGGGCACGAGGCCTGAATGATCCCAACGGACTTTCCACGCTGCTCCGGGAGCCGCCGCCATAGCTGCTCTCCCTCCCGCTTTGAGCTGCGTAGGAGAAATAGGAAACATATGGGCTCAGAGGTGATTAAGTCGGATAATAATTTAACCCTGACTCCACTGGGTGTTTGGTAAGGCAGCTCCTAATAATTAAATAAAACTCCAGCTGCAGAAGACATGCTGATTTTAATGTTTGTAAGAGATCAAATTTGGGGGGAGGCATCTTAAAATCCGTTTCCATTTTCCATTCCAAGGGTCTGCTTTTCCTCCCCCCAAAGAATATACATCACTGAAAAACCCAAACAATTTCTATTTTTAGAAAGTATCTCGTGTCTGTCTCGGTCTGAAAACCAGCAGCTGGCTCGGGAGATCCTGGTCAGTGATGCTTACGAGCATCAAGGCCTTGCGGTTGGGAAGGGGCACTATGTCCGGACCTAGCGTGAGGCGCTTCTTCCCAGCTCCCCGGGTCTCGGACTGGAGGCCTGATCTCCCGCCGAGACGAAGCGCTTTCCTACAGAGCCCAAGGGAACCGGCCTCCAGACTCCTTGCGGATCCCAACGCGACAGAACACGGGACGGGAGGGTACAAGTGCTCACCGACGGTTGCAGACAGATTTGAGTAGGCAGAGTCATTGGTACGAACAAAGGTAGAGTTATGGGAAGGAAGCACAGTGAGGTTGTGGGTTCGCAACACTGGGTGGGACAACAAAAGAGAAAAGCACAACACATGAGTGACATGAGCAACCAATGGAACCCGCATATCTCTCAACCTGACGCGCACCGAGCGGCCATCTCCCAATGGCCAAGCACCTTGGATTTTCTCGCCCAACCTCGCCTCCCCGCCACCCCTGCCCTCCCGCGCACTGGGCGCCATTGGGGCCTGCCAGTCCCGGAGCCAGGGCGCCGCAGCTGTTGGCTGTCGCCACAAACACGGGTTCCAGTTTGCCGCATCCAACGCCCTTAGATATTCAGGTGAGAGATACGGAGCCGAGCTCGGCCGCACGGCAGCCTTGACGACAGGGTTCATGTGGTGATGTCACGACAGTGGACGAGCCAGGACACAGCATGGAGGCAATGGCATGATATCATGACACGTGGACACAACAGAGGGTTCAGCGACAGATAACACAACTGCAGGAGCACGAGATGGCTTCCAAAGCCATTCCACGGTCCCCGGCATCAGACTGTGCCGACGGACCCTACTCTCTGTTTCTGGAGACGCCTGCGATGGAAATGAAATGGGCCAGTGTGCATCCTTGTGTGAAGATGGGTCAACGGCCTGCAGGGACACCAGCACCCTTCACGTGTTCTGGGACACACGTGAACACACTGAGTTTCCTGGGAAGTTCACACATCGGTCAACAAAATTCAGCCAAAGCCAATTGGGTCTTGGCGATTATAGGGCTTTACGAGAACTCCCTGAGGGACAGGTGTTCGAGACATCCAAAGGCACTGGTTTGATCCCAACAGTGAGCTGTGGTGAGCCGTTGGGACAGGAATATCATTATCTGAGCTACTGTTTGAAATAACGACTAAAAGGTGAATTTCTGCATCCTAAACCGGGAATTACGTTGATAATTCCACTTGCTGGGATGGTCTCTCCTCACAGGGTTTAAAATAAAGGCCCTGGGAGGAAAGATGAGATCGTAACAGAGGGGAAAGCAGTCCCTTTTAACCCGATCTGGTCAGGTAATGACTTCCACAGGGAGCTTACATCCCCGTGGCTCAGACCTCTCGGACAAAACATGGAGCTCCAGACAGGTCTTCCGTGTGGGGCGCTGGCTCGCCGTGTGCAAGCGGGAAGGCAGGAGGGGCACTGAGGGCTCCTGAGCTGGTCTTCCACTGGTGGGCCCTTCCACCACCCAGAGGTCCCACTCCTTGACGGCCCCACTCTGGGGACACTGGTGGCCCAGATCCCAGCTAGAATGCTTCCCAGTTTGCAAATTTTAAGGGAAACGTCTCAGAATCTTAGGCGGTAATTTATGGCAGCACATGAAGTCCCAGGGGTGTGGAAGACGCCGGCGTGCCAGTGTGGAGAGCATCGTCGTCAGCGGCGTGCGGGTTTTTTAAAAACCCCACTGCACGGAACTGGAAGAGACCCGACGTGAGCCTGTGCTGGGCCGGCGGCAAAGCCCTTGCTACCCACGACATAATCAAGAACGGTGAGGAAATGAATATTGAAATGCAAAAGCATCCGGAAGCACCGACCACTTATACTGGGAACAAGTTTCTTACTGGAAAGGGAGACAGTGCTCGGGGGCATGTGGGGCTCCTCCTTGGGGCCAATGCCTGAATTCGGGCAGATAGAGACTGTGCTTTCCAGGGAGTTGGGAACGTTGGGAGCATCTTGGGAGATGTTCAGTCTTTTCAAAGTAGTGGCCAGTGATGTGTGCAGAAGCTGATTGGTCGGTGGGGGTACCTCTGCCGAGGGAAACAGCAACCCCCCGGACGTGCATAGTTGTGCCGGTTGTCACGCCCCTCGGCATCGGCTCAAATGCACCCCTGGTTTGGCAGGTCTGTCTACCTAGAAAATGGACACCTAGACCCGTAGGCTGACTGACCCACCACCAGCAGCTTCAGGCCTCCAACAGCTGCTTTCGCTTTAAGGTTATCGGAGGAAAGCACACACATTAATGGTATTTTGAATCACAAGTTCTGTCCTTCTGTGATAAAAATATATCAAGCTTCTGTAAAATACTTTGGGTGAACAGTGATTGGGAGAAGACCCCCAACAGGCACCAATCTCTGCTAATCTCCCGGCTTCCAAATGGACGCTGTCCATGTCTGTGTCCCCTGATGGCCCCCCAGCCCCATGTCACCCGTCCCTGTGGCCTCGGATTCTTTCACCACCCGTGTCTACCTCCAGTTGTGTCCTGAAGCTCATGAATCCCGTCCACATTTTCCAACGGCCAGTAATGGGAAGCAGACGCCAAGACCTCAAACCCTGGGGGGAGAAGAAGAAACGTGTGAAGTCAGCGTCAGGAGGGAAGAACCGCTCACCTTCCATCGTGAGTGGAGGGAGGAGAAACATCACGGGATGCGGGATTCACTGAAGAGGAATTTGGATAAACTCAACACTTTGAATAAAGGACTCTTAATAAATTATAAATGGGTGAATTTTTCCTTAACAGGATAAAGCGTATAAACAGGAATGAGCGGATACCTCTGAACCGAAGGGAACAGCAACCCCCATGCATCAAGGGGCCCAATGGGAAGCATGTCCGTTAGGGTCAGGAGAAAGGCAAGAACCTTGTTCTGTTATTGCTTATGCTGTTTTAGAGGACGTAGCTGGTGCAATCAAGCCAGGGAAAGAAATAAGGTTAAAATGATTTTTTTAAAGATTTTATTTATTTGACAGAGAGAGAGACAGCGAGAGAGAGAACACAAGCAGGGGGAATGGGAGAGGGAGAAGCAGGTTTCCCGCTGAGCAGGGAGCATGATGCGGGGCTTGATTCCACGATGCTGGGATCAGGACCTGAGCTGAAGGCAGATGCTTAATGACTGAGCCACCCAGGCGCCCCAAGGTTAAAAGGATTAAAAAGAGGGGGAAACCGGCACCAATATTACTGACATCATATAAGGCTCTTGACAGCACCTCCTTGTTTTATTGTAACAATAACCTGTCAGGTAATTATCTTGTTGGACTATTTGTAGAGACGAGGGGCCAAAGCTGCCTCAGAAATCGCCCCGCTGACTTGGTTTGACATGGAAGGCTCACTCCGGGTCTCCCCAAGGCAGCTCCTGGTCTTTCTGCTCTCGCCCTCCTTCCGACATACTAAAAATTAACCGCTTGCGGATTTCCTTTATGACCCTTGCACTTTGAGTAGACAGGATCTCGTGCAGACTGACCGTGTCCTATTCTGCTCATCCCACTTAATACCCCATGAACTGTTTCATCTATTTGCTCCTACCCAGGCTCTGTGGTGGGGTCTCGGGGATAGTCCCGGGGCCGTGCCCCACCCCAACATGCTCAGCCCCTTGCCCAGCTCCAATCTGCTCCTGGATTAGTTCTCTGTGATTAGTTCCCAGAAGCGGACACAATGGTCCAGATGATGACATGATCATCAAACTCCCAAAGGAGATGCCGGATCACAGAGAAGCAAAAATTAATAAAGTCATCTGTGTTATTCATTGTAAAAAAATGTTTTAAGAGGAGGTAACAAGGTCGTTATTTTCAAATGAGGTATGCCTCATAAGGAGAATGAAAAAACGAGACATCCTTACAAATAAGGAAAGAATTTGGTAAACGAAGCCTGTGACCCACCAGGAAAGAAGTGAGTAAGGAGGTTTATACAGATGTGACCCGTGAAAGTCAACAGTTTCCCTGTGTTCAAACGATAACACGAAAGTGGAACGGAAGAGGAGTTCTCATTTGTAAACATAGCCCACGAAGAGAAGACATTTAAGTGCCAAAGAATGAGAACCGTACAAAATTCTCTTGGAGAAAACAATAAAGTAACACCGAGGGATGGACAAGAACCCTTGGATAATGAAGAATTTTTGTAACCTATTTTTGGGAAAGAGAACTCCAAGTCATAAAAATGTCAACCCACCCTTGAATTCATACCTAACGCAAGAAGAGTTGTTGTAAACATCCTGAGAGATTTTGTGTGAGAGAAAGCTCATCATCTAGAAAAGGAAACAAGCAAGAAAAACCCACAAACCTACAGGGGGACGGCGATGGGGGTGGGGGGCCCAGCCCCTACACAGTGAGACCATCACAAGGTCACAGCTCCAGAGAGGATCCAGAGTGGCATACAAGTAGACGGTTCAGTGGGAAAGACACATAAATACCGCCACGCACTCGTGAAACCAGCTTATGACAAAAGTGGTCTTTCAAATCAGAGGAGCAGCACACAATGGACAGTCTCAGGGCCAACTAGCCGTCTGCAAAAACCGAGATCCCTAACTCACTCTCTCTACCATAACAATTTCCAGAAGAAGAAACTTAACATGTAGGGGCGCCTGGGGGGCTCAGTGGGTTAAACCTCTGCCTTCGGCTCCGGTCATGATCTCAGGGTCCTGGGATCGAGCCCCACATCGGGCTCTCTGCTCAGCGGGGAGCCTGCTTCCCCCACCCCCTTCTGCCTGCCTCTCTGCCTACTTGTGATCTCTGTCAAATAAATAAATAAAATCTTTAAAAAAATTTTTTTAAAGCCTTCAATGCAATGAAAAAATAAAACATAAAAGCTTATGAGGAAACCACGTGATAAATCTATGTGCATTTTTAAAATATTTCCATACATAAAAAATCAATCAAGCTAAATTGAACCAGGAAGTGATGTTTATGTAATACATGCGACAGAAATGTACTGATTTCTTTTTAAAGGAATGTATTGAATTTATTGTCCTCATTAAAACTCCCACTATTCAGAAAATTTAGACCAACAGAACATTGGGGCGAAGGACAGCAACAGGCAGTTCAAAGAAAAAGGAACGCAAATTATTTTTAAATTTATGAAAAGGCGTTCAACACTGCTCATCATTTTCAGAGGCGAGCGCAAACTGCAATGAGCTCCCTGTCCCAGCTCACCTGGCCGACAGACGAACAGTTAGATGTTCTAGGTTGGCGAGTTCTGCCACATTTTTGGCAGAAGGTACAGTCTTTCTGGAGGGCAGTACCACAACGACGACACAAATTTTAAGTGCACTTTGAGCTAGTAATTCAGCTCCTGGAAGTTCGTACTAGAGACAGACTCACACCTGGGATCAGAGAGCTACATACAGGGGTATTTGTTGCAAGATCTATGTATTTTTTTATAGTATCAAGAACAGGTGAACAAAGACAATGTTTATCAGCCAAGGAGCCGGGTCCTAAGGACGGAGCGGCTACTCAGTGGACCAGGACGTCATTAGGACAAGGCTGATACACGTGTCCTGATGTGGAACATTCCTCAAGCCGTACTGTCAAAAAATCAAGGTGAGAGAAAAATGTGTTAGTACCAACTGTTTGTGGAAAATGTAGCTGTTCGGCAGGCAAGGTGGGAGGGAAGGATGGAGAGGAAGAGAGAGAGACTTTGCATGGATAGCGCAGAAATGGACTGCCATATTTTAGGGGTGAGGAAATTGAGAGACTGGATGGAAGACGTGAGAAGATTTCTATTCCTTTCTATTTCTTTTCTTTTTTTAAGATTTTATTTAATTATTTGACAGACAGAGATCACAAGTAGGCAGAGAGGCCGCCAGAGAGAGAGAAAGGGAAGCAGGCTCCCTGCTGAGTAGAGAGCCCGATGCAGGGCTCAATCCCAGGACCCTGAGATCATGACCTGAGCCGAAGGCAGAGGCTTAACCCACTGAGCCACCCAGGCGCCCCATTCCTTTCTATTTCTGTCCTATTCAAACGTTCGTACGTGCATTCCTTTAAAAATTCAAAACGTGAAGACACGTGGATTCGCCAGCGTTCACTAGAAATGATTCTACTCTATCCACACAATATGGAGACTCTGACATGTCATTATCCAGAACACTCATTTCCATTTCTACCATGCTTTTCTCCACCGCCACCTCCCCCTCACCCAAAGTGTAGGATATTCGTTTTGAAGAGGGGAAACATCATTGACTTGTTATTCAGGTCATCTGGGGCGGGCAGGCGGGGGGGTGGGGTGGCGGATCAGAAAAGGGAAGGACATCCCTCGTGCAAAGAACAGGTGCAGAATCTTCTTCACAACCCACGTTGTCATCCAGTCAACACTGTGGATGGTAAGTCCTTCCCTATCATCCCCATTTTCAATCGCCCACCACCCGTTCTGGGCACAAAGGCTGACAGAGTAAAGGGATGGTGGCCTTGTTCGCACAGGGAGCCCCCCAAGCTAGCAAGAGTGCATGAGAGAAGGGGGGCTGGGGTCCGCCGAGAGCCTGCTATCCCACATCCCTGCACTTCCAGCAAGGATAACGTCCCACCATGTCGCCCCAGATGTCACACATGGACCACACTGAGATGGTGGGGTGGAGGGATGGAGATGCACAGTGGCGGGCTTGCACAGTGAAATGTGCATGGGGGCCCGGCCGGGAGGGTGCTCACGAGGACGGACGGTGCCCCCCCCCCGGCAGGCCCAGAGCAGCGAATCACAGCAGGGCTGGAAATGGCAGCTGCCGGGGTGGGGCTGCTGGTCTTGGGGGGATGGGGGCTGCGGCCCCCTGGGAGGTGTGTGTGTGTGTGTCCCGCCACTCCCCGCCGGTCCCTGCCAGTCCCCACGGCTCTGCAGGGAGGTCTGCCCAGCACGGCCAGTTCTCCCCCTTTTAGGGAGAAGTCAGAAACCCAGATCCTGGAGGTTCTTTATTCAAAATCTCCCCAAATCTTAATGTTCACAATTAAGGTGATTATTTTAACTAAAGCATTGGGCAGTACTAACAAATTGTGCCTAAGAAACTAAATTTAGCACGTAGGTTCCCCTTTAGAACCTCAGGCGTAAAAGCCCACAGTCCTACAAGTGTCATCAGATCGGGCAAATCTCATCCTTTGGGGACCAAGAAAGACCCCCAGGAGCCACGTACCCAAAAAGAAGGGGACCTGGGATGTCCAGGTTCTACAGACACCCCTGTTTCCATGGATGAACCCCGTGAAGTCCGTGTGTCTGCTTTGACACATAGTCAGCCTAATCATTACACGGCTCCTCCTGGGACCTGTGGCCCTAAAGGATAAAATGCGGGGAGAGGGAGAGGTATTTGGCTGACACCACGACGGTTATAACGAGTTCTCCAGGAACAAGTTCTCATCCCGATGCCATGTGCTGGACTCAGCCTGGTGAGGAGCAGGGACACACGGCCACTCGTGCCCCAGAGGACCGTTAACACGACCTTCCTTCTTCCCTTTCCGTTGCTCCTCTGGATCCTGCACGCCCGCCCCTTCTCTAGGACGCGTGAGCAGGAACCGTCTTCCCCTGACGCTGTAGGGAAGTCCGTCCCGGCGTCCCATGCCTCGTTCAACAGCAGTGCACGCCACGGAGGAGATCAGTCCCCAGCAGTCGCAGAGCTGGCCCTGACCGGTCCTCCTCAGGCTCATCGTGGGACTCCCCGCTGTGCCCACCGCCTACAATGCTCTTCCCCTGGCACCCCGACCACGGGAGCCTCGGGCCGGAGTGCAGCCCACGCGCCATCACCCTCCGCACTGCCAGCTCCTTCCCTGTTTGCCCACAGCACTAACTAGTCCTTGAATTCTTTTGTTTGTTGACATATCTGCTGTGTCAGATCCTCTGGTCCATCTGTACCACAGTCTCACATCTAACACACGCCCAGGGTGTGTGTCTGTCTGTGTAATCCAGATTTTTGCATTTGGATTCTCCCCAAAAGGGTAAGCTTAGCGATAAATTTTTTCAAACTATGTAGGCAGAATGGATGAGGAAACGCAATCATGAATAAATGAATGGATGAACATAGAAAAAATACATACGTACACACTTCTGAAACTATTTATACCCCAAGATCTCCATCGATCACACTTCCGTTTGTTCAGTAGCGTATAAGCATTATTTTTAAAAACTCCTTCATGAACACTTTTCTTTGCACTGGGAAGAAGAATGGAGTTTCTGGCGGGACCTAGCGGCTTGGACAGCCTCTTGCAGACCCAGTAACCCTGCGGCACTGACCGATGTTAATTTGCCTCATTTTGCTGATCATTTTGCAATATGGACAGATACTGACTCATGACGTCGTACGCCTGAACCTAAAATAATGTTGTATCCATTATGCCTCCATTAAAAGATACGTAAATAAAGGGAACAGACTGTTGATTTGCACAGAGAAATAACCAGTCTGCGGCCAGAGGGAATTACAATCACCATAACCATCCGTATTGGCCTTCTAGGCCTCTGAACGGGGCCACGAGGGGAGCTGGCCCTACCTCCCGGTGCCGGGTCGAGCCCAGCTGCTCTGGGTACCCCAGACTTGGGAGCGGCTGGATAACGGGGATGTAGAAAGTCCCTTTTCCTCATTAGAGAAGTTAAATAAACGGCACATGGGTGAACTTTGTAAATCCCCATGATTTCTCTGCTGGCGCCATGTATGGCTTACATCTATCAACCACCGGGCTTCCCAGCGCCATCCCCAGAGCGGAGCACGGACTCAGCAGCCTGGGCCCGGGGAAAGGCTTAATGCCATCCTTCCTCCAAAATGAAAGTCCACGGTCACAGATAAACACAGATAATAATGAAGGCTCAGAATGATCTAGAGTTGTCGTTCAATGATTTACAGAACTGAATACCTATCTACATGGTAGAGACACACATCTGGTCAATGCCTCATTGCCTGGGCTGCTGTGGACAGACAAGCCGATGACGGTGCCCCCGGGAGCCGCCGTGTGGCAGGCGGGCCGTGCTCACCGATTCCGCTCCTGTGTGACCCACGGCGCATGGTCAGGCCCACCCCGGTTGAGCATCTCCCGCACGGGACGCAGTGTGCAAGGTCACGGCAAGACAGGGAGGCCTTGCGAGTCCTGGCACGACCTTAAGACGGCAAGTCTGGAGTGGCCGCCATGGGAACAAGGGGCCCTCCCGGAGGCCGGCCCCACGTCCTGCTGCTCAGCCCCTTCCATGCCCTCATGGTCCCCACGTGCCCTTATGTGTCTGAGCCCATTGAGAGCTGCTGAGGTCACTGCCACGTCTCACCGGCGACCTCAGGCAAACCACCTGCCCTCACCGGAAGCCCCCCTCCTGCAGGAGAGGGCCGTGTGGGACCCCACAGAATCCATGTCTGAGCATCCACTGTGCTGCCAGTTTTCAATGCGGCTCCATGTTCCCCAGAATTCATGGCGACAGCTCACAGAGCCGTTCCCCGCGGGGTGGGGTCTAGCGGTTTGCAAAGGCTCCCCCTCCAGGAACGGGCTCCCTGCCTGTGTCTGTGTCTGTGTGAGTGGGCACCCTGGACAGGGCCTGGGCTAGGCTTTCCCCACTGGGGCTCCTCCCAGGACCCTGAAGGTCGGTGCCCCCAGAAGCAGAAAGGAAGGCGGCCTCCTGGTGGGGGTGCCGCATGGACCATGGAGCCGGGGTCAGACGTCCCTGCAGGATGTAGGGAGAGCAGATGATGGAAGGACCAGAGAGAGAGGAGGAAGAGGGGAGACCGGGGAGAAAGAGAAGGTGAAGCAGAGAGAGTGAGAGACAGAGAGAGAAGGAGACAGTGAGAGACAGAAAGAGTGAGACAGTGAGACAGAGATAAAGAGAGACAGAGAGACAAAGAGACAGAGACAGAAACAGAGAGATACAGAAACAGACACACAGAGACACAGAGAAATAGAGGCAGAGACAGTGAGAGACATGGAGAGAGACACAGAGAGGCAGATAGACACGGAGAGAAGGAAGGAAGGGAGGAGGGAAAGGGGAAGGAAGAAAACACAAGCAGTAGGTTTTCGACCACAAGGGAACACCCACGGTCGTGTCCAGGGCGCGCCTGCCTCTGTCATTATGGTGACGAAGGCAGGACGAGGCTCAGGTGGTAGACTGTCAACAGCGTGGGGGTGGCAAGGAGGACGGGAGAGACCCCAAGACGCAGGAAGGGAGACAGGAAGGGAGCCCGTAGGCGCGGACATCAGTAAGGAGGCTGAGCAGCTCCAGCCCTCCCCTCGGGCTGGCGAGCTTGCTGCTGGCCACGCTCATCTGCCACCATCATGTCTCCGTGGTATAAGTTACGGGGAAACTAAGTCAGCTTCAGCTGATGATAGGGCGTGAGAGGAGCAACGCTTCCATGTGGAGCGGAGACTGAATTCAAACGGCTCCTTTCAGCAGAGGGTCAAGGCCTAGGTGCACACAAGAGGATGTACGTGAATGTGTGTGTGTGTGTGTGCACGCATGTGTGTACGTGTGGATAGGTCTGGGTGGGTTTGGACTGTGTGCGTGCATGTGGGTGTGTATACGTGGGTATGGGTGTGATGTGTGTGCATGCATGTGGGTGTGGACATGTGTGCACACGTGTGGGTGTGTGTACCTGGTGTGATGTGTGCACACGTGTGGGTGTGTGTACCTGGTGTGATGTGTGCACACGTGTGGGTGTGTGTACCTGGTGTGATGTGTGTGCATGTGTGTGGATGGTGTGGATACGTGTGTGGGTGCCACGTGGCCAGGGTACAACCTGGAAACCGCTTCCTGGCTTCCTTTTCCACGCCGGGCAGCAACTTGGGTCTTACACCCGTCTGCCCGCTGACACCCTCCCTCACTCTTGTCCACTGGAAAACCAGCAGGAGCCTTAGCCGGCCCAGTGGGAAGGGGAGAGCCTCAGGGCAGATGCACACGCGCCCCTTAGCATGACACCTGAGCCATGGAGCCCTGATTTCTTTCGTCTGCACTTTGGTTGGGGAAAGGGGAGCACACAGAATTCATGGCCCTCACACCTTTTCCAACAGAAGACTTAACTCGGGCATGTGGGTGGGAGAGAAACGGCAGCACCAGCCATGGAAACAAGTAGTTCAGTCTGTGCCCCCGCCCTCCAGGATCACCTGCAAAGAAGAAGGTCCAGCCCCACGACTGAGGTCCTGGCACTCTCAGCAGAGGCCTGGCCTTGTGCCTGGGGGGCCTGGGGATGCTGGCTGTGCCTGTAGGTTCTGGATGGTGCCCAGGAGGGGGCCGGGCTGCAGGGACAGAGGCCGGTGGGAGCTCTGAGTCAGAGTATGCTCCCCAGTGGGTCAGGTTTCCTCGCATGGCTCCCAAGCATGGGCGCTGGGACCTTGACGGGTTCCTCACCCCTACACACAGGGGAGCCAAGGGTACCGCGGCCACAGGGCCTTCCTGCTGCTCACCAGACCCCCTTCTTCCCCAAGCCTGCACCTGCGACGTGGCCACACCACTCAGGGACAGCTTGCAGACCGAGGACTCGCATTGGCCCACGGACAGTGAGCCCCAGCTGGGATGGGGACAGAGAGGACAGAGCCCTAAGTCAGCTTGGAGACACACGGCAGGAGTCAGAGCAGCAGACAGAAAGCCAGCACCTCCCTTCATCCTAAGGCGGCAGTGACCAAGAGCCAGAGGCAGCTGCAGACAGCCGCGTCTGACACCAGGATGAGCAGAGCGCCGGGAGACAAAGGGCCGCCAACTGGGGACAGAGGGGCCTGCGGCTGGGCCGCCCTACGCTGGCCCCAGAGACAAGCGACCCAACCATGTGGGGACCCCTGCGCCAGGCGGGCGGACGGGCAGTGGACAGCGCAGGAGGACGCTCCCTTACCTGGATGGGCTGGCGGCCTGGAGAAGGCTCCGTGCACCTGCACACAAAAGACGAGAGCGTCAGAGACCCGGGATGGCCGCGTAGGCACAGAGACCTAGCCCGACCTCGAAGACAGCCTCTGGGAGACGGTACCTGGAAATCGCAGAAGAGCAGCAGCAGCCAGAAGTGCCGGCCCCAGAGCAGCTTCCTCATGGCTCCCGGGGGGTCGGGACACGATCCCGCCACGTTCCCGAGCTCTGCGGCCAAGCGTGCGCCCTAACTTTCACAGCCCCGGGAAAGGGACATTTTCACAGGGTCCAGGTGGGGAAAGATCTGCTTCTCTGTAGTGGGTGAAACACAGCCGTCCTGCCCGCTCACAGGCGTCTCTTCCTTGTCCGGGAGCCTGACAGTGTTGGGTGCCGGCACCTCGGGAGGGTAGCCCAAAGCTCTGCTGGGCCGGCGTCGGCGTCTGGGCTGCCCTTCCTCTCCGGACTCCCGTTCTGCCTCCAGTCAGGCTCGAACCGGCCCCTCTCTCCTTGCCTGAAGCGGGCAGCGCGAGGAGACTCTCGGAGACGCTGGTCTGTGCGCCCCCCTGTGTGCCCCCCCGTGCGCCCCCCGCCGGCCCCGTGCGCCCCCCGGGCCGGCTCCTTCCTTCGCCCTGACTCAGCCTCAGCCCCAGCACGGGCCAGAGGCAGTGATGTCAGGCTCTCCGCTGTCAGGCTCTCTGCTCAAACTTTGTCCGGACGGCTTCTCTATTTATACCCCTCGCTGCGGCGTCCTTCCTGGGTCCTAACACCGGTCTGTTGAGAACGTCGGGCCGGAGCAGGCTCAGCGTCCGGGGACAGCAGAGGCTTCCCACCAGCAACCACCAGGTCAGAGCCACAGTCCCTAACGAGAAATCCCACGACAAACCCTAAACTGTGTTGACAGCTGAGCCTTGTTTGTCCGAAGGAAGCTAGAAGGTGATACACAGATGGAAACGGAAAGTAAACCACACCGCATGCCCCCAGATAAGTGCTGACCACACTGTTCTCGGTTAACCCTTTCAGAGGCGGGTGAACGCTCTGGGAGGGTTTATAGGGTCCTCGGGGTCCTCACGCAAAACCCCAAGTCCCCCCGCCCCCCACATGCGGGAGTCAAACCCTGAGTCGCTGGAGCCTCAGTTTACTCAAGACCAGAAGTTAATCCAATCTACCCCAATCCACGTTCACACACATGCTCACACTCACACACAGCTCACACTCACATGCTCACACACATGCTCCCACAATCACACAAGGCACTCATTCACACACGCTCACGAGACTCATACACACACGCTCACACAAGGCTCCCATGCACGTACACACACACACACACACACACACACACACACAAGATTGGAGTCAGCACTGTAGTTTGCTCCATGATTTTTTCCCACGCCTGCCTCCCGGGCCATCTCCAGCAGCTGTGAGCTGTGTGCTCTCAAAGAAATGACTGACCCTCCCTGTGCTTCCAACTCCTTGTCTCGGGGAAGGGAGCAGCCGCTCCTACCCCCCAGGGAGGTGACGCATACAAGGCCCCCAAGGCCGTGCTTGGGAGCTGGAGAGCACGCTATAAACCTTGCGAGGAGAAACTGTCACCCAATAAACGTCGGTGTGATGACGAGTCCCAAGTAGACAAGAACATCGCGAAATGTTAGCTAAGAGCACTCTTTCCTTCGTCCTGACTTTAAATGGAATAAAGTCCCGAATCCAAGCACTTCCTAAAGAGGATAAGAAGATGGCTTCCAGTCTCCATGGGAGAGCAGAAACCCAAACCTGGATGTCGAACATCAGGCAAGTGGACAGGCGGCAGCCCTGAGCCTTCCCGCCTGGCTGTGGAAGGTTCCAGATCACCGCTGGAAGTGGCTGCATCCCTCGTGCACCGGTGAGCCCTGAGCCCCAGACTCGGGCGTTCAAGCAGCAACAGTAGCCAGCTGCCCAGTTCGCCACCTGTGTCCTCGCTCCTCCCGCCGCCTCCAGACGGATGTGGCCACATGGACGCCCCTTCCCAGCCTTCACCAACCACCTCTCCATGGGCCGCTGTCTGTGCGAACCTCTCCCGTTTCCACGGCTGAACACAGCGGCCTGTGCCCCCTTTTGATCTCCAGGGTGCTGTCAGATCATGGAGGCCCCCAGATCCATGGCCGGCATAAACGCTGCAGATAAAGTGAACCAGGCAGCCCACCCCGCAGGTGTCTACACTCACCGGGGACTGGCGTTTTCCCAGAACCCCAGACCACCTGCTTGCGCTACTTCGCATCATCTGTCCTCCCACATCTCCTCCCCACGTTGAGAGGGACGCCCCTTCACCCGAAGTGCCGTTTCCCGGCAGGACAGACTTTGGAGGCAGCGCAGGTGGGCTCAGGGCTGGGGCCGCAACACTGCGAGTCCCCGTGAGCCTCTGGCCCATCCGGAGCAGCATTCTGGCCCCAGGGCTCCCTCCCTCACGCCCTTTCCTGCTCCTTTCCTCCACATCAACTTTCCCTGTCTGACAGTCTTTTCGAGTTCAGCCCTCATTCCCCCGCTGTGCGTGTCTCCCCACCACAACCAAGGCCCGCGGGAGCAGCGATGTTCTTCTGTCCTCAGCCCCAAGAACAGGACTCAGCACTTACCCCTGGTGTCACCAAGCTGTCAGACACCCGGCTGCACCTGTAAGTCCAGGCAGCTGGTTTGACTCACATGCCTGGTGAAACGGTCCCCACAGTCAGTTACCATCTCTCATGTCCTAGAGACACACACAGAGGAACAGAAAACAATGTTTCTTCCCTGTCCTGAGAACTCCTAGGATCTGCTCTCCACGAGGACCCTGTAAAGCGCACAGCCGTGTTGCCACACTGGGCGTGCATCCCGGTGTTCATCTCACCCATTCGGGCAGTGTGAGCACCCTCCTCCTCTCCTCCTCCCCCCTTCTGCTGGCCCCACACCTGATCTCTCATTCCAGGAGTTGTGGCTTTGTTCTGCTCTGTCCTGAGTCCCCATGAAAGGGAGATCATAAGGCACTATTCTTTTTCTGTCCAACATATTTCACCCAGCTTAATGTTGGGTCATTTATTGGAATTAATGCAATTAATTACTGCATAATGACATCTGCAGGGACAGCAGGACATTAATGCAATGTCGGCTGAGCCGTACGGCATGGCATATACACCCTACATCTTCTGGACCTGTGCCCCCCCGACAGACAGGCTGGTTCTGGGTCTCGGGCACCGCACGTGATGCTGTGATGAACATGTGGGTGCAACTGTCTCTTCAACACAGGGTTCTCGTTTCCTTGGGATGTGTTCCCAGACATGGAATCGCTGGGTCACATAGCCTAGTACACAGGGTTTCAGCATTTAGTACTCTCTGAGTGAGCACCTGTGTGTTTGACTTAAAAGAAAAAGTGTGTCATGCTTTGGTAAAAGTCTATCAGCTTTATATTGAGGTAGACATTAAGTGTTTTCAGTGGGACCTTAACATCACTTAAATGTGGATTTAAAGAGAATCACAGGAGCGCCTGGGTGGCTCCGTGGGTTAAAGCCTCTGCCTTCAGCTCGGGTCATGGTCCCAAGGGTCCTGGGATTGAGTCCTGCATCGGGCTCTCTGCTCCAGCCGGGAGCCTGCTTCCCCCTCTCTCTCTGCCTGCCTCTCTGCCTGCTTGTGATCTCTCTGTCTGTCAAATAAATAAATAAAATCTTTAAAAAATAAAAAATAAATAAGGAGAATCACAGAAGCAAGTAGAATGGGCTCGGCAGGGACCAGACAAGTAAGGTCTGAGGACTCGCCGGAGTGGCTGAGCGCAGTCACTGTAGTTGAGAAGAGCGAGTGGTGTAATTCAGATGTGCTGTGAGAGTAGAACCTGTGTGTTCTCACCAAAAAAGCACATAAATAAATAAGCAAATAAGCCAGGTGCGAAGTGAGGGACGTGTTTATTCTACTGTGGAAATCCCTCCGTCTCTACACATATCAAGCATGTATGTATCCAAGCATATACTTCAAAGAGAACCATCTTATTTGTTGATTTTACCTTAATGAGGCTGAAAAGGGGAAAAAGGAAATGACCCCCAAGCCCTCAGCAGGCTCCCTGTTGCATAGGCGTTTCCAGGCATGAAGCTAAGCATGAAGCTGGCTGAAGGCGGAGACATAATGGGTGACTTGTGCAGGGACAGCAGGTGCCAAGTGGACACGTGTCCTCGTGCCCGCAGGAGGACAGCTGGGACCTCATGGAGGGCACAAGGAGCTGCTCAGATGCTTAGGAGGTGGGAAAGTCTGCGCAGACCGCGAGGTCTTAACGCCCGTCTTCTTCACCCTGACCCTCCCGCAGCCACACCACCTTCCAGAAACCAGCAGACCCGTGACGAGCCGCGTGTGTCCCGTGTGGCCGGACCTGGCCACGTGCTGGGGTGTGCGGGCAGCACACAGGTGCTGTAGACACCGAGGGGCTTAGAGGGCTGGGGAGGTGAACTCAGCCAGGACGCGCCGGGAAGGAGTCAGGGAATTCTTCCTCTTGGGGAAAGGAAGAACATTCTGGAAAAACCTACGACGTGGGCTAGCACCCCGGATGCAGCGTGGGGTACATCACGGACGGGCAGCATTCCTGCTGGCCCAGGTCCCGGCCCCTTCGGTGGACAGAAGCATGTGTCTTCTTCTGCAGAACACTTCCTTCACCCGCCCACGTGCTCCCACTGGGACTGCGGGGGCCACGGCAGGCAGAGGACCGGCGGGAACGCTCACAGTGCCTTCATGCCCCGGCCCGTGCACACCCGTCCGTTGCACACCTTGATATCGCTGGTGCCTTGCCTGGGACAGATACCGACCCCGGGACAGATACCTTCCCCCACTGCTAACCCGGAACAAACTTAAATACGGCTTTTGATAGCCATTTTTTTCTCACTACAAAGGAAAGAATTGCCAGCGGTAGAAAAAAAATGGGCAAACTAAAAAATGGGCAAGGGAGAAATTTGATGGCATCAGCCGAGCCCCTGGATCCTGCTATACCTAAAGCCAGTTCACTGACGGGACCAATAAATGCGCATTTGGGCTCAAGCAGTTATGAGGCTGGTTTCTGTCCCTTGTAATTAAGAGCCCTGGTCAATTCAAGAAACCACAGTAATTTGCCATTCAACAAAACACAGACACAGAGGGAAAGGGGCAGGAGCCGGGGCTGGGGGAAGAGACACTCCACCCCTCTGGTCTGAGTCCTGCATGCCCCCGCTTCAGCTCCCAGCCTCGTTGCTTAGTCCCGCCATTTCAGGGCAATCAGCACCATCGGGATGGCTTCCCCCATCCACCAGGCATGTCGACCCCATGGTCTCGGACATCCACATACAGGCTTTAAGAGTCAGTGACAACTCTGCTTGGATGTGCACATGGGAACTTTGAGGGGTAGAGTAAACCGTTTAGTTGGTGAGGAACTTCCTTCCACCAG